CAAAGGCAGGTAAGTAATGTTTTCCTTCATTCCAACATAATCCTGAATGTTTGTGCCTCATTTTTATATTTCTAATAAATAAACTGATGCAAACATTGTGAAGGGTTTGACACACATGCTTTGCTGTAATAAAGATGTGTATCTGAGGCTAATTAAATGAGTGACTTTTAACTTAGAATATCTCAACCTTCCAAATGTAGGTTACTGCTTCATTACTGTAAATATTTTATGGGCATCTGTCACAAGGCATCAGAGTACATACATAAAAGTAAAATATACATGGGGAAATGTCACTTTAAAGGAAGAGAACCATTTCTAGGTCATTGGCTCTTAACATGGTCAAAGCTGGCAGTGACTGCTTTTTTTTGCTTTCCTCAGTAGATGATAGGAAATAAACTTAGATCTTAGTCCATTACTGTACTGACCATGTGACAAAAAAGTTCTTGACACCTTGGCATAGTTTAGGTACACAGGTACAGTGTGACCTTTTAATAAAAAGTGATCACTGGAAATCTTGAAACTTGCATGTGCAGACATGTGTGACACTGCACATGCTGTCCTGCCTGGGCTGGCAGGAGCCAGGGAGGGAAGATGCAGTGCTAGGGGAAGCACATCTGCTTTTGTTCTAGGTTTCAGTATGGTAGATAACACTGCCCCTTAAAAGCTGCAAATGGACAGTTGCTGTAACCTGTCCTAGCTCATGCAGGTGCACAGGTGGGATATGCACAGTTAAGGTATCAGCTGCACAGTTGTGGTGTTTTTTTATTTAGCTCACTGGTGATGATGAGATGTTCTTGTCAACAAATGCTGGTACAGCCCTGAGCCAATTTGAGAGAGTTTCCACAGACCTTGGTAAGTTTTCATTCTCATAACTTCTGATTCCTTTGCCTCATTGAACACTGATTAATAGAAGTATGTCTGGTTCCCCTGTGAAAGAGAAAATATGAACAAGAGATTCATGCCATTAAATGTTATTATGTTTTATTAACAAGGAGATTGATACAACATCATGAGGAAAAAGTAACACAGCAAATAAATCCAATGCCAAACATCCACAAAATGTCAAGGGTGCCAGTTATGCTGAAGGCTTGAGTAGTGTGTCTCAAGCAGAGATGCTGCTCTTAGGATTAAACACAGATCTCTTTTGCATTAAAGACTTTATTCAGGAGAGTTTTGTCCTCTGCTTGATGCAGAGAATTTGGGAGTTATTGGCACATTGTCAAAATACAGCTTTAAAGCAGTCTTCCTGCCATGATTCTCACACCTCTGATTGTGTCAGATGAAGAGTTCAGTTACAAAAGGCATTAAACAAGCACACCAGCTCATTGTAGCAGCAGTTCAACTGGGATGGAAGAGCTCTGAATGGCAGGAACGTGCCAGACTAGCTCAGGCTACAAATAAACTGTCTGGGTGCCCTGCCTTGTGCTCTGCTCTCCCTGCCAGTGTAAGCCAGGTGAGAACCTCTGTTCAGGAGGGGACTTTGGTGGCAGCTCTGGGTGTGGGAGGTGTTACCAGCACCATTCCAGCTACAAACACAAATCACAGCTCTGCAAGGGAAGCTGGGGGAAAGGGAGCTCCAGCCAGCCAGGCCCAGTGGCACATGGCTGCTCTAGACCTGGCAAGCCTGTGTGGAGTTTTTTTTTTTTTAATTAGCTCAAGTTCTAGTTTTCACAATGAAGGTTTGATTTCTTTGGATCTCAAATGTTTTGCTTGATTTAAATTGTGTATAAGGTAATTCACAATTTCCACTAATACTTACTGAAAATGCTTTTTCCCCCTCAGGATCAGGAGACAAAGTCTTTGCCCTTGCAAGTGTTGAAGTAGAAAAGGCAAAACAATGAAGAGGTTCATGAGGCTTGTGTCTCCAATTGTCAGCAGCATTGGATTTTGGTGATACTGTGTTTGGTTTTTCTGTTTCTAGCATGTTGAAAATAAGCAAAGCAAAACAAAAAACCCAAGCCCTAAACTTCTTGGGTCCTTAACCAGAAGATACGAAGTAAACAGCCTTAAGTGCACTTTGGAACCTTGGTGTCTGTACCCTTTAAGTAATACAAGCTCTGAGGCTGAACACTTAAGTGGAATTCTAAAACAAAAGCATGGTATGACTGTCTTTGGAAAGAGGCAGCTCTTTTGAACTTCTCTGAATGTGTATTTCTCTAACTATTAAAACTTAATCTTTTTGCATGTGGTTGTAGCAAGCAGATCTTTTTAAGAAGTGGTCCTGATGATTTTTTTGGGTGATTCTTCACATTGTCTTAATTTTTGTCTGGACTCCCTACTAAGTAGTTTGTGCTAGGAAAGCATTGAAGCTTTGGAAAATGGATGTCGTTTATTGAAATGCCATCTTTCTACAAACTGTTTGCAGAAGACCCAAAAGGAGCCTGGATGCTGATCACTGGCCCTTGGCTGCTGCTTTGCCGTGCACATGAATGAGCACTTTGTGTCCCAGCCCCGCTGAGGACAATGGCAGCGCTGTGGGGAGGCTTCTGGAGCCGTTTAACCTCGTGTATTGACAGGACAGGAATTGACAGGACATGGCAATGAGATGCTCTTCCCTCAGCTCCGGTGTGTAACTGCACACTGCTGTTATTTCAGAGGGCACATGGAATAACTTGCAAGTAGAAAGAGGTTTGAAAAGGGGGGGGAAGCTCCCGATGTGATCAGTGTTGCTCAGTCTCAGTGGTGGAGGGGGAGGGTCTGTGCCTCCACTGGACCCTGAATAAACTTGGCATAGGAGGATTTGAAATCTCACGTAGTTGAATTTTTAGCTCAGACTTAAGTGGGTAGCATAGACTATAAACGGAAAATTAACGTGGTCAGTCGTCATTTAGAGTGCACTTACAGGGCATAAACAGCCTATAAATTAGCAAGTTTGTCTAATTGTAAGCTAGGACTGGAGTAGACTAGAAAATGTGTTTGTAGACTGTATTTTGCTTTAACAGATGTACTTTTGACATGTAGCATTTAAGAAATGAAAGGTATAGACAGCATAATTTGTTTTTCACTGACAGAACATTTTTCTCCCTGTTTTTAAAAAGCCTTTATTGAGGAGGGGTCTTTTGTCCATTCCAGCAGAACTATTTTCCTGTCTGGGACAGCATTGTGTTCTCTGACAAAGGCTGATTGCAGCTTCATAGCTGAGAGCAGCTTATTAAAAGGCATTATTAGACTCTGAAATTATGGGAAACAAAACAGTCTGTGGGGACTGGAGCTGCCTTCTTTTCCTTTCTGCTCATTACTGGTGCTAAGGAACTCTCCCCATACACCCCCAGCCTGCTTGCAGCATTACTATGTAAATTAAATCTCTCAGCACTCACAAAAAGTTTACAGTACAATGGCATGGAAATCTTTTTCCTTGTAGTTTGAGAGGTGCAAGTTTCCAGGAGAAACTTTTTTAAATTGGTTTGTAAATATTTCAGGATTTTTGCAAATTCCTCTACTGCTGGCAGTTGTAACTTTCCAATTAAATTGATCCTTGTCTGAACACCTTTCCAACATCGTGATGTTTCTGCTCTTGGAAGGATCTCTGGTGGTTTAGATGGACAAAGATGAGACTGAGATCAGTGCCCAGGATTGCAAGATTCAGTGTCAGGTCAGACTTCTCAGGAGCTGTGAAGGGTCAGAAATGAGAGCTCTACCCAGAGACTGGCTGTGTCCTGCACAATGCCCTGACCATAAATGTGATTTAACAAGGAAGCTGCTGCTGATGTGAAGCTATTCAAGTGTTGAACCTCACAGATAGTTAAGTAACCTCTTAAATAATTAGATTGATTTCAGGCATAGTAAGTTAATTGGTGTGTTGTGCTAAATACTTTGCTAAATAATCCTGGGATGTACCTCGATCACCATCTTAAATGTTTCTGCAGGGGCTGGGGAAAAAAAAGAAGTCCATAATCTATTTATTATAATAATGATTTCCTCAAATAAAAACTGATAACAAAAGAACAACTGCTAAATGAAAGCATGGGTTTGTGTTGAACAAACAAGCTTGTGATGTGTGAGTTCCATCCCCAGCTCAGTGTTGGACCTGGGCAGATCACTCATTCTGTACACATCTTTCTTTCCTGGAGTAAAATACAGATTATGATCCTTAAATATCGAGTGCTGTGAAGTTGTTATTGATCATACATTGCTTTGAAGATTAAAAGTGCTTTGTTTTTTTGTTTATCATTTTACTTCTGAAATAAGAATTGTAAAGTACAGTAGCTTTAGACACATCAGCAATGTTCCCAGAGTCCTTTTTTGGCCGTATATAACCTCCTTTTTTTAATCTTCTTTCTCTATAGAGTGAATTCAGTGATTGTACTGATCTGAAAGAAAAAGTGTTAGAAAATTTAAGCTTCAAAAATTCTGTCTCTCTTTCTTCTGTCTTTGTCTCCTTGTGTTATTTCCCTTCTTTGATCCTGAATGGAAAAGTAGCAAGTTAGTGTTGAAGAAAAAATACAAGATTTCTTAAGAGATACCTTATTTTCTCATGCTACTTTTCCTGTAAAAATCAAATTCATTTTGTGTTAATGACACCCTATGGACAGGCAGTTCAGGCTGTATCATTAGTGGCTGAAATGGGATTGATGCATGATTTTGATGGATTTGAATTACCAGACTAAGTCTGACGTATAAAAGATTAACAAAAGAAAAAGAGATTCCAAACTAAAAACAAGTCCTTCATTGGGTACCACACACATCTTGGAGAGAAAGAGTTTTCATTATTGTTGTGTGTGGTTGAACCCTGGATAATGAAAGCAGGAATTGTGTGTGCAGATGCTGCTGCTGGAAGCCCTTAATGAGAGGGGGATGCCAACAAGTACAGAGGGACTTGGAGGGTGGAAGCAGCTGTGCTGTGAAAGAATCCTAAATTAATTTCAGAGCTGATTAAGAAAGAATTGGAGATCAGGAAGGACAGGGTGAATTGAGAGAATTTTTCTAAGTCAAGTAGGGATTCGGAAGAAAAGGTTTCATGAAGTTTTTGGCTTACTAGAATAAACAGTAGCTTCATTAAACAAGAGATTAGAAGCTATTGAAAAATCCATTTAATCTGATAGATTTCTGTAAAAGAGTATCAAGTCTTTATACAATACTTGTGAAAATGTTAGACCTAACATTTAGATAATTAAACTTGTAACATCCCCTTGCTGAGGGTTAGATCAAGCAGTGTGATTGGGAAGGAAGAGATTTGATCAAGTGCAGTTCTACCTTCTGTTTGCTTTGGGAGGCTCTGTGCATTCCCATGAGACATGAACAATATTTTACTCTATCTCTTGCAGAACTAGCAATAGTTGAGAGGCCTCTTGAGCATCCATCATGTCTTATGATGATACAAGTGACTGATGGCAAGATGTCACCTTGCTTGATAGCTAAACACCTCGGTAAGCTTGAAGGTAATGAACTAAGGTGGGGCAGGAGCTCAGGTTTAAGAAAATAAATCTAAAATTCTCCTAGGCTAGAGGAAGCCTTGTGGTATCTGTCCCTGCTAAAACTCTTTCTAAATGAATGCAGGATGTTAAATTGATGATCTGTAAGACTGCATTGCACTGCTGTACAGTCAGCCAGCTGAATGAGGAGAGCTAGACAGTACTTAGTCATAAAATGGTGTTGTGCCCATGATGTTATCAGTAAGGAAATTCATACTATTGCAAGGATGCAAATGATGGCTTAATTATATGCTCCCACTAGCATAAGATGCTTTTAGATCTTTCCCTCAGACTCATGTACTGTGCTAATTAACAGTAATCCAACTGGAGGATCCCAGAGCAATGCTTCTGCATATTTTTTCAGCTTATGCTGGAGCTCTTATGTTCTTTTCTTAAATAATTAATAATCATTACTGCCTGCTGTGCTGTGGGTATGTGCCAGTGATCTCAGATCCCAGCACATTTGCACCATTCCTGTTCCTGTCAGAGGCTTGGGTTTGCTCTTTGCAGAGGCTTTCATGTTAAGCCCTTCATTAGCTGGCAGTGGGGTTTGGATTTCAATGGCATCGGGCTTTGATGTCATTAAGTATCAAGCTGTTAAAGGAAGCGCCACCTATTTCATTACTGTGACTATCTTCATGCAAGCAAGTTAAATACCAAGTAGAAAACAGATGAATTTTACTAAATAACACTTGGTACACAAAGCATTTTTATCTCCAGGAATTTTGTACTTGCCTGCTGGCTTCACCAATGCACCCTGTAAGGAAGCAGGGTAACTGTTAACCTAGTGGGAAACCATAGTGCAGATGAGTGGTGGAGCAGGGTGATTTAACGAGGACGGTTTCTGTCTTCTTTCGTTTTTAGTTTTAATTAATTCCTCTCTGTGTTAAATCTTCTCTGTGTTCACTGGGGTTTTACTCTTCCTCAGTCAATGTAGGTGAAGCATTACTTTGAGTGCTTCAATGACCAAATGACCATTTGCTCTAGTTGGAGGTTGGCATTTTCTGTATTGGCTGAATTAGCTCAAGCTGTACTGGATGTTGCAGTGTCTGTAACTTTCTCAGCGCAGTGTTACGGAGCAGCGCCCTGCTGGGCTGGATGTGGATGTGTGCTGGCCGCAGCGCAGCCGTGCTGCCCCGGAGCGGGGGGGACAGCCAGGCGGAGCCCGGGCCAGCCGGAGCCCGGGCCAGCGGCACAGGAGATCGCCAGGTGAGTGCGACCGGCTCCGACCCCGCGGGGAGGCTCCGACCCGGCCAGCGCTGGCCCCTCGCCCGGGCCTGCCCGCCCCTTCCCCGGGCCTGCCCCGCGTCCCCTCCCCGCGTCCCCGCCCCTTCCTCCCGGCCGGCTCTCGGCTGCTGCCTGCGGCGCCGCCGCTGCCCTGGGCGCCGGGACGCGGCGGGTCCCTCCCCCGGAGCCGCCCAGGCACCTCCCTCGGGCCGCCGCGGTGACTCACGGCGGAGGAGGAGGAGGCTGGGCTCGGCTCCGCTGCTCTCGCCCGCCCGTGCCGAGCGCGCCCCGCCGCCGCCCGAGCCGCGCCGAGCCGGGGCCGCCGGCCCCGCACCAGGTGAGCGCGGTGCCCTTTGTGCGCGGCCGCGAACAAAGGCGCTCGGCCGGCCGGGCCTCCCCGCTCCGCGCTGCCGCTGCCGGCCCCCGGCAGGCCCCGGCCCCCCGGCACGGGTACCGGGGCTGCCCTGGGGATCTGCTGCCCTCGCCCCTCCCGTCACCGGGCGCCCCGCTCCGCGCTGTGCCGCCCCGGCCGTGGCCGCGCTGCCGTGGGCAGGTGAAGTCACTGCCCGTGGAGCCGGGCACGGAGCGCAGGTGTCCCCGGTCCGTGGGTCTGCCCTGCTGGGCCGGCTCGGGGCAGCGCCCTGTGCCCGCGGTGCTCTCGGCATCCCCGCCTGGGAAAGCGCCTCTCGGACAGTGCTCAGCAAAGGAACTCCCTCGGGGTAATTCCTACCTGGGCTAAAAATTGTGTTTCTGGAGCCTCTGAGGCAGCACTCGGTAACTTTCAGTTTACATGGACGGTATTTGTCGGCACACGTTAGTTTTTTACCTGTTGGGAGGATAGGTGAGAGAGGGACAGCATCACCCTCCGGATCAGGATGTGCCAGTGCTCCAGACACAGACGAGACCTGATCCTCGTGTCTGCTCAACATCCAGATGTGCTTCATCACCGCATGTTTGCCTCTCAGGCTCGGGTTTGCTTTCTCTTCAAGAAGAGAATATTTTGCTCTGTTGTATATCATCTTTTATTTGTCCGTTCCTCATCTTGGCATGTTGAACAGGGTGAGCTTTGATGCTGTGTGTGATGAGCATGAGACATTGTGCAGATGTGAGGATTTGAAAAAAACAAAACACCAAACTCCAGCAGACTTTAGTGGCAAGTTAGATATGCTACTTCACAGTCCTGGTCCAAGCTGGCTCCAGCATGGTGAGAAGCATGTTCAGAAAGTATTTAGGAACATATTTTTAAATACAATACAAAATCCTACTATATTTGGTTTTTTTGGCTGCTGAACTTGCAGACTTTCAATTTCTTTTGGCCTTGTTTATTTTTGGAGCTCATGTGTGATGTGAAATAGCCTGCTGAGGGAGAACCTCTGTGTAAATAGGGAAAAAAAATGAGGTTAAACATGCACTTGAGTGGGGTTTATTTTGAAAGTACAGGTATTCAAGGTGAGGGAGCATACAGAAAGCTAGGTATTACTGCTTTTGAAGATACAGGCTGGTTTTCTTACCAAGCTGCAAGCTACTTCTGCCTTGACAAACAGATTCATGTGGAAAATGGTGACAGGTGTACTTCAGATAAATTTCTGTTGCTTCACTTTGCCCTTAGCTGAAAAAGCATCATCAGTTTTTTGCATCTTGGGCTCAACTGGCAGCTCCCTCAGTATAATTCAGAGTTGTTAGGGATTTGTGTGCTGTCTTAGTCAGTACACAGAAATAATAAATCTGTGAAGGAGTGTGTTATGACTGAACAAATGTGGGAGCAAAGGTCATTTTGAAAAACTTAATTGGTAGTGGGTTGGACCCAAATCTGCTTTAAAGCAACTTTCTCTTTTAGTTCATTGTGAGCCTTGCAACAAGTTATAGGGAAGCTACATAGAGCAGAAAAGTGCTTTCAGGATTCTTCTTGATGTCCAGGTGGGAAGACAGAGAAATCTTCAGTAGGAAAACCATCCCCTGGGCTGGCAGGGTCACTGTGATCACCCCCTGTGTGATCCCCAGAGAGGGGCTGCCCTGCAGGAGCTGTGTGGCAGCAAGGGCTAAAGGAGCCTCTGTCCCTGTCCTGACAAAACTGGTCCGTGCTCCTGAGTGTCACTGGGCAGAGCATCCTGTGGAGGCTTGGCAAAGCAACTTCTGAATCCCAGTTTTGTGGGAAATGTGCAGCTGTATCAGTTTCTGCTCCCTTCCATCCTTTCCCCCATCCAGGGTTCACTTTGCAGGAGGAAAGAGACGTTTCCAAAACAATTTGTGTTGTCTTCTAAACAAAGCCAAAAGTGAATGGAAACAAAACCTAGATTTTGTAATTGCTGCCAAAAATTAAAAATCATCCTGCAGTTGCATATGGGCAAACAGAACTAACACCTAAGTGTGCCTGATGTGGTTAAGCTGTTCAAGGTTGATGCTTTGCCTAGGAAACAGTTTGTCAGAAATAGATCTATTTATATGTGTTTAATATAAATTTTTCCTCTCCAAAATGTTTGTCATCTGTAACCAACACAAACATTTATATTTTTTACTAAGTATTTCAGTTCCTAAGT